TTGGAAACAGCTGAAAGATTGAAGGTTCAGGCGTTCATAAGTGGACCACTCCCTGCAAGAGGGACAAATATGTTTTCACGGCTTCTTGGTCTAAATGTATGGCTACAGAAAACATGTAACAAGAAAGGACTGAATTTCATCGACAACTTCAATCTCTTCTGGAACCAAAGACAGCTGTTTACATCAGACGGCCTTCATCCAAACAAACTTGGTGCAAAAGTGCTAAAGGACAATATTTTTTTCTCCCTCAATCATCCATCAGCTGTGTGTGCCACTGAACTGAATTGTACACACACACCTAGCAAATGTCCAGATGACCACAGGACTTCAAATCAGCTCCTGAGTGGACTTGTGGCTGACGAATCACCCAAGGACAGTGATAATGCCACACAGCCAAAACACCCAATGTTGATAGGGACACTATCTGTTGCCCTCTGCTCAACACAGGCAGACTGTGACGCATCAGAACAGCATCAAGTCTCGTCACTCAAAAATGATCCTCAGGAAAACATATTTCTGCAGACAGAATCTCCAGATGCACAGCCTCTGTCACCGGACACGTTCTCATTGTCACAATGTTCACCACTCTTGGGTTTTTCAAAAAAGATGGAGGAACTGGTGTATGCTGGAACTAAACTTTCACACTCCATTGCCGCAAGCCCCCAGTTACCAACCAAAAAGCGGCCTGCTCCACAACCACCTAAGAGCCCACCTGGAAGAGCCCTCCGATCACACCGCCAGGGCCCAAACAACAACGCCCCATCTTCAGCTGGTGAACACAAGAGCTCTCTGTGATGTGTGTCGGGGGCCTGCTTAGATAACAGTGTCTTTATCAAATGTTTTCAGAACAAGCAGGAACCCAGTGTGTCTGCAGCTTTCTCTAAGCAGATATGTGTTGTGTTAAGTGACAGAAAACCAAAGACTTCATCAGGCCGTTTAGCAAATCATTCAAATCTGGTGTCTATTAAATGTAGATCTGAGACTACTATAGAAAAATCAGCTAAAACTGTTAAGTTAGCGCTTTTAAACGTCAGATCACTCAACAATAAGTCTCTTTTAGTCAATGATTTTATCAACACAAATAGCCTTGATTTTATGCTTTTAAATGAAACTTGGCTAGATGACAGTTGTAGCGCAGCAGTTCTAAATGAAGCAGCTCCTTTAAACTTTGACTATTTGAGTGTTTGCAGAGCTAATAGGAGAGGTGGAGGCATCGCTGCCCTGTTTAAAGATGTGTATGAATGTAAACAAGTGTCATTTGGTGACTATTTTTCTTTTGAATATCTGAGTATAGCACTAAAAGGGTCTCCACGCATCTTACTGATCATTATCTACAGACCTCCAAAATATTCTCCAGCTTTTATTGATGATTTTACAGAGCTGTTATCAATAGTAACCTCTGAATATGATTATTTTAGTATTGCTGGGGATTTTAATATTCACATTGATAATCCAGAAATCAATGCTGTAAGAGAACTGATGACTGTTTTTAACACTTTTGATCTGACTCAGCATGTTCAAGGACCCACACACAATCGTGGACACACTCTTGATCTACTTATAACTAAGGGTTTACACATTTCATCGACTGTTGTTAAGGATGTGGCACTATCTGATCATTTCTGTATCTTTTTTGATATATTGATCACTCCAGCTATTAAAGACAGATCTGTCTCTGTCAGAAAGAGATGCATAAATGAGAACACCAGTGAGCAGTTTATGAAGGCCATATCGCTAGCACCAAGTATATCTGCAGATTCTGTTGATGCTCTCCTTGATTTGTTTAATTCTAAAATTGAGAATGTCATAAATGACATCGCTCCTGTTAAAGTCAAGAAGATGACTGGCAGGCAAAAGGGATCTTGGACAAGGTCACCGAGAGTACAAATGATGAAAAGACAGTGCAGAAAAGCTGAGCGTATGTGGAGAAAGACGAAACTAGTAGTCCATTATAATATCTATAAAGACAGTCTTCATGCCTTTAATATGGAACTAAACACTGCTAGACAGACTTTCTTTTCAAGCCTTATAAACAGCAACTTAAATAATGCTCGTACACTCTTTGCAACGATAGAGAGACTCACAAACCCCCCCAGTCAGATTCCAAGTGAGCTCCTCTCTGAAAGCAAATGTAATGAGTTTGCTCATTTCTTCACTGATAAGATCAATAATATCAGAAAGGCAATCAGCTCATCCAATCAGTCAAGTTGTGTCGATATCAAACAAGCTCAACCACAACTTAAGAAGTCAGACATTATGTCTGATTTCATGGCAATTAACGGCAAAATCTTAGAAGAAATTGTGCAAGTTATGAAAACATCAACCTGCAGTCTTGACACGCTCCCCACATCATTCTTCAAAACAGTGTTTACCTGTTTAGACATGGATCTTCTAAAAGTGGTAAATGCTTCACTTCTATCAGGGATTTTTCCAACCTCACTTAAAACTGCAGTTGTTAAACCCCTCTTGAAGAAGAGCAACCTGGATAACACCCTATTGAGCAATTACAGGCCAATCTCAAATCTCCCTTTCATTGGCAAAATCATTGAAAAAGTTGTTTTTAACCAGGTTAACAAGTTCTTAAACTTCAGGGGGTGTTTAGACAATTTTCAATCTGGTTTCAGAGCACATCACAGTACAGAGAGCGCTCTTATAAAGATAATCAATGATATACGCCTAAATACAGATTCAGGTAAAATAACAGTGCTGGTATTGTTGGATCTCAGTGCTGCATTTGACACTGTCGATCACAGCATACTTCTGGATAGGCTGGAAAACTGGGTTGGGCTGTCTGGCACAGTCCTCAAATGGTTTAGATCTTACCTTGAAGGGAGAGGTTACCATGTCAGTATAGGTGACCACAGGTCGAGGTGGACACCCATGACATGTGGAGTCCCACAAGGCTCGATTCTGGCACCTCTGCTGTTCAACCTTTACATGCTCCCTCTAAGCCAAATAATGAGAAAGAACCAAATCTCCTACCACAGCTATGCTGATGACACTCAGATCTACCTAGCCTTACAGCCTAATGACTACAGCCCCATTGACACCCTCTGCCAATGCATTGATGAAATGAGCAATTGGATGTGCCAAAACTTTCTTCAGTTAAACAAAGAGAAAACTGAGATGATTGTGTTTGGAAACAAAGATGAGGTTCTCAAGGTAAATGCGTACCTTGGCACTAAAGGTCAAACAACAAAAAATAAGGTCAAGAATCTTGGTGTGACTCTGGAGTCAGATCTGAGTTTCAACAGTCATGTCAAAGCAGTCAGTAAATCAGCATACTATCATCTCAAAAACATAGCAAGAATCAGATGCTTTGTTTCTAGTGAAGATTTAGAAAAACTTGTTCATGCTTTTATCAGCAGCAGGGTGGATTACTGTAATGGACTCCTCACTGGTCTTCCTAAAAAGACAGTCAGACAGTTGCAGCTCATCCAGAACGCTGCAGCCAGAATTCTGACCAGAACCAGAAAATCAGAGCACATCACACCTGTCCTCAGGTCTCTACACTGGCTGCCAGTTACATTCAGAATAGATTTTAAAGTATTACTACTGGTCTATAAATCACTAAATGGCCTAGGACCTAAATACATCACAGATATGCTCACTCAATACAAACCTAACAGATCACTCAGATCTTTAGGATCATATAAACTAGAAGTTCCAAGAGTTCAGTCAAAGCAGGGTGAATCTGCTTTTAGCCACTACGCCCCTCGCTGCTGGAATCAGCTTCCAGAAATGATCAGATGTGCTCCAACATTAGGCACATTCAAATCAAGACTGAAAACACATCTGTTTAGCTGTGCCTTTACTGAATGAGCACTGTGCTGCGTCCGACAGATTGCACTATTATGTTTTTCTCTTCTTCTTCATTCTTTTATATCACATTTTACCTGTTTTTATGTTTTGTTTTTATGCATTTTTATTATTGTTTTTATTTTTATTTTACTTGTTTCTTTTATTCTTGTTTATGTAAAGCACTTTGAATTGCCATTGTGTATGAAATGTGCTATATAAATAAACTTGCCTTGCCTTGCCTTGCCTATATCATGGTTTCCACGAAAAATTCCGAACGCAACTGTATACGATTGTACAACATTGATAATAACAATACAGTATGTATATTTTACTGAGTACTATCTCGACATGTTAGAACCAGTTTTGAATCACAGAAATAAATTGCATTTTATATATAAATCACATAGTAAAATATCTCTGGTTCAGCTCTGGCCCACACAACCAGCTTTTGCTTGGTCCACATGCCACAGTGAATTACGGTACATAACTGGACCAAGTCTGACTTCCAGATAAGGGCCAAACATGAACCATATCTGGGCCAAGTCTCATCCAAGTTCATAACTCGTAAAAGGGCCGGACCTGGGCCAGATTTGTTGGTGTGTCATGACTGCAGTGAAATGGATAAACCCATGAAGCATTGCACTTTAGGTGAGCTATGTTTTTTTTTTGTCTCGAAGCGACCTGATTGGTAGAATTTTTTTTCCTTTATTCAAAAATAATAAAAATGTATTTTAAATGTGGGTCAAACTCACATGGCCCACATATCCATTATTCGCATCTTGGCCAAATACTACATTTGATATCTGGCCCAGGTATTGTGTGCGACCTTAAAGACGGTGCCACCTCTGCTAAACTCTGGCCATGTTTGGCCCACATGCTACTGTATATGCCAGTGCCGGATGAATGCTTGCTGTGCCAGCTTTATGCCAAATCCGGGCCAGAATATATGCTACCTAGGAAATATATTTAAGTATATATATACAATAAAATATTAATAAAACCTAAAACAACCTTATTCTAAATTTAAATAATATATCACAATTTTACTGTTTTTGTTGTAATTTTATTCAAATAAATGCAGCCTTAGCAGGTCAACATTCATTCATATTCATTTTCAGTGTATAGCTAAGAGGCCAGTGTATGTTTAAATCTCACTGCGGCGCAGCAGAATGATGATGAAAACTGTGTTGATATTTCAGGACTATCAGGAGGCCACACATCTGCAGCAGTTTGTGACGCGTTTCCTTCTGAAGGAGACCACCAGTCAGCTGCACTCTCTTCAGAGCTCACTGGAGTGTGCAATGGAGACCACAGCCGAGCAGACCCGGCAGGAGAGGCAAGTCATTTACAAATACACATTTACAAATAGATGAACATGCAAAATAACTCTCTGTCTACATTACTACAACTTTTCAAGCAACAAATGAATCATACAAAATAAAAAGTGAAATGCTTAAATTTCCTTAAATAATTGCTTAAGAAATGATTTAAAAAATAACAAAGCATTTTGGGACTTAAGCTCCAGGAGTTGAAGTAGAGATAGGTAATAGTGAATGTAGACCAGGGGTCACCAATCCCAGACCTGGAGGGCCGGTGTCCCTGCAGGGTTTAGCTCCAACTTGCTTTAACATACCTGCCAGGATGTTTCAAGTATACCTAGTAAGGCCTTGATTAGCTTATTCAGGTGTGTAAAATATGTAGGACACAGGCCCTCCAGGAACAAGTTTGGTGACCCCTGATGTATACATATAATATTTAGAATTATAATACTCACACTCACTAACCTTCAGCTTAGTCCTTGATTTGTTAGGGGTCACAACCGAAAAATGAACCACCAATTACAGTGGCATATGTTTTATGCAGTGGATGCCCTTCCAGCTGCAACCCAGCACTGGGAAACACCCATACACTCTATTATTCACACACACTTATACGCCATGTCCAATTTAGTTCATTCAATTCACCTATAGCGCATGCCTTTGGACTGTGGTGGAACTGGAACACCCGGAGGTAACCCATGTGATCCCTGGGAGAACATGCAAACTCCAGACAGAAATGCCAACCTGCCAAGTCGGGACTATTCAAAATATGAATTATTTTTAATTAATATGATAGTGTTTATAATATTCATCAATGTGGCGACACGGTGGCACAGTAGGTAGTGCTATCGCCTCACAGCAAGAGGATAGCCGGTTCGAGCCCCGGCTGGGTCAGTTGGCATTTCTGTGAGGAGTTTGCATGTTCCCCCCATGTTCGCGTGGGTTTCAAGTCCAAAGACCTGTGGTACAGGTGAACTGGGGTAAGCTAAAATTGTCCGGGGTGTGTGTGTGTGGATGGATGGGAGTGTGTGAGTATTTCCCAGTGGCTGGAAGGGCATCCGCTGCATAAAACATATGCTGGGTAAGTTGGCGGTTTATTCCGCTGTGGCGACCCCAGATGAATAAAAAAGAAAATAAATGAAAGAACATATGTATAACATTTTATTTTTGGCCCACCTAGAATGAGCAATTTACTAGATTTAGGATAACTTTAAGCAAGACTAAGCAGTGACCTAGAAATGTAGAAAATTGTCTAATTTTGATCTCGTCTGTACATAAGATTACTTCACTGACCACATACTGAAAGCATTCACGCTCCCAAAGCACCAGAGGCATTTCTTCTGCACCACCGATCAAAACACAGCATTTCACTCTTGAAAATGCATGCAGATGGCACCTTGTGCACAGACGCAAATGTTTTGGGCACAGACATCTTTGGTACTGAATATCTAAAGCATCAGACGCATTAATTGTTTAATAGTCCAGATGAGCAGTAGACTGATAACTCAAGCCTTAAGTTTTAGTGCAAAAAAAGGACAGATGCCAGCTTAAACCGTCACTTAATCAACAGAATCAAGAGTTAATGTGTATTACAGCTCATTTAGTCTGACTCACTGCGTTTGTGTGCAGAGGAGGGTCTTCGTGGCCCACCATGGGGGTCAGATCTTTATAGAGAACACCATTGAGAATGCAAAGCGAGCTGTTTTATTCCAGCACCTGGATGATTGCATGTTACAGATATCTCTGTGTGTGTGTGCGTGGTTGTGTGTATGAGCATGTGAGTATGTGTGTGTGTGCAGCTGTGCCGCTTCGCTCACCTTACGATCTCAAGAAAATGAGCTGGAGCAGCTGGCATAAAGAAATGACGGATGCTGAGGTTGAGCTTTAAAAGAAGCCTTTCTTTTTTTCTTTTTCTGTGTTCTTAAAATCCACATCGGCTCTGATGTAATCAGTCGCATCCTAATTAATTGGTGAATTCAAATTACCTCATTATCGCCTCTGCAGGTGACAGAGTGTGTCTAACGCAATAACTGTGCATCAGTGAAATGCACAGCTTTTACTGAAGTTATTTGTAAAAACAGAGGCAAATAAAGACTCTGATTGAGGCCCTCAGTTATATTTGTTTTATTTTCATTGAACATTTTTAATATAACAGATTAATAAAGGCTGTTAAAAATTGTGCCTTCGTTTATTTTAGTTAATGTGTTAAGTTAACAATAGAGATCTTAAGTGTGGTCTCCTTTCAATCGCTTTATAAATGGATGGATACAAATTGGATGTCTTTGAGAAGATAACAGTAATTTTAAATACAATGTAATAATGTGTTTTTTAATATACACAAACATCGGTCAATTTAAATGTATTTTTTATAGTGTTGTATTGTATTTAATAATTTATTTTGAATGTTATTTTTGCTTAAATATTCTGTACTGTTTGCTGGATTTTGTATAATAATTAAAATATTATATTGAAAAAAAAAAACAATAGAGATCTTATTGTAACAAAAACATTTCACATTATTTTTCAATTGTCAAACTGGATATAATTGTTCATTTTAAATAGAAAGATTAAATCGATTACTGTTTAATCCGACTGTTGCAAATTTAACCATGATTTTGCAGTTTAAGAAAGCATTTATATTGTTATGTGTAAATGTAAATTTGAGCACAATATAAATGTAAAATGGAATAAGTTTACTTTATTAACATGTCTTCATAATATCTCAGTGGAAATAGCTGGGTTCCATCATAATGTAAAATTAATCTTTTCAAAGTGTGCAAAAAAAAAAATAAAAAATAGGTGTGATTACGTGAAGTTTCACAAACTAATTTTCAGAGGAGCATGTGATATAATTGATTGCGGCTGGTCTCTCATCTTTAATCAGCAGTAATCTAATCAGATTGATCCAAGCCTACAATAAATAGACCAATTTTGTCCTACTGCCATCTTTGTTTTGAAAGAATCCCCCCTTCCACCCTATCTCCTCCTTTTCCTCCTTTTACCAGAGGGAGCTCTCGAGACCTATATGCTTACAGCCCTGGGCTCAATTATCTTCGAGCTCAGTGTTCTCTCATGGGACAGCATGCCAAACCTGCAAGCAATATCTATGTGTGAACTCTTGAAGTGTATTTTCATTAAGTTGTTAAAGCAGCTGACAGTAGTATTGGTAACCTAGCAACCAACAGTACAAGGCAAGTAGGGGTGCACGGTTCCATTTTTTTTTGGTTCCGATTCTCAACTCCTAATTTTGGAGTCGGTGAAATCGACCATTTACATTCACTTAAAGTAGCGCAAGGATTAAACATGCTGTATAACCTCGCGCTTTACACAATGCTACTGCGTCAATTGGAGCTTTACATTGCGCAGTTCTCCTCTGGTCAGACAAAACCAGCAGTTTAAATGATCTGCAGTAAAACTAAAATTGCTATCAGTCTACACTTTTTTTTTTTTTACAGCATATTGTATAGTTTAGATAATTTAGAAAGTTACATTGCAATCTTGGAGATAGTAAGTTAAAACAGGCACGTGCACACATAGGGCTCAACCTGTGCAGTGCACATGCCCTTTTTAGTCTTGGATAGAAAGTGCCCTTCCAAAATGATCAAAAGTGCCCCCGCGACGCGACACACCCTCCGTCCCGCCCTTCAGTAGGCACACGACAACACTGATCTTGAGTACCCGCGCTCAATCCCCCCCTCCCCCGCTTTACAATACGCGTGCGACAACAGTTGATCAGAACGCGCGCGACAACACTACTCTTCAGTACGCACGGGACAATGACAACAACAACGGTCTCTGGACGGTCTCTGCACGGGCCTGAGTTAAAACATCAATTTTTTAATGTTGAATGGAAAGATGTGTAGTAGTTCATTAAAAAACACCTCAATTGAGCCCAAACAACGGTTAAATTTAAAAATTTTATTAATATAAATGTTTGATATTTGAATACTGTAACAAAATAATCCGGTGTAGCAGACTGTCACGCAAGGCATGCCCTAAATCTGCGGTTGTTCACTTGTTTATTTATTTTTTGACGCTCCAACCGATCATCAAACAAAATAGCTACATTTTCCATTTGATTTAATGACCAATATTTAACACCACACATGAAATATTTAATCTCAAATAAATAATACATTAACAAACCTAAAATAAATGTGATTTTCTTTAAAGTGTACTTTTAAATAGCTCATTACTTTACTTTTAAATATCACTGTTTGTTTTGTGCAATGTGTTCATTAAAATTAAAGGTGTGTTAATGAGATGGCACATGTCGGAGTTAGACCTAGTTTTTGAACACTTAACCTTGGGTATATTTTTATTTAAAAACAAATTTTGTTTGGTATAATTTTGATGTATTTTTGCACTTACTTGCAAAATAAACAGAAGCATGAATAAGAGGTAAAATTAAGTGCGTACAGGGCTAAAACAAAACCATGCGACCACATATATTGTCAGATTTTGTGAATAAAATAATATCTTGTGCGTTGATGAATAAATAAACATGTGAATAAATAAAATCTTGGCTACTTTTGTCTTTATGATTAATGTTTATTTATTTATTTATTTGTGAAATAGGCATAGGTTAAATCAATAATTTACTTGAGCATAAAGCAGCAGCCAATAGCCTTACATAACATCATAATTTCACCTGCAGTGCTAATTTAAGACGTCGGTCCGCCAATAGTATCTGATCTGCTCCAAATTCACACACATATACATATAGGCTACATTTCATTTATAACACATCAAGCTTGACATCGCAGGCAGATCCGAACTAAAATGATTTAAAACCAAAATGCAAAAGGTGTACATGCTTTATAGGAATTTGTAAGTGATAGCAAATTTCATTCCGCAGCACTATTTATAATAGCCAAGAATGCTTGTGGTTGTGAAATTCTAAAGCAAAAGTGAAAAATGTTTTAACAAGCGGGCGCCATCGGTGTTCATCGTGCTCGAAAATCAGCATTAGAATTGTTGCATGTAACGGCTTCATTAAGGAGGATTTGAAAAAAAC